CCTCTCCCCACTGCTTCCAAAACCTACTACCATCTTCTACCATCCGTGGAATAAGATCTCCCGGCAGTCCCTCTCCGCTGCCCTGGAGTCCTCCGAACTCCTCCCCCTCTGGCACACCTCTCCCACCAACACACTTGCTGCGCTTACAACAACAACAAGATTTCATTTATAGAGCGCCTTTCATGTTGGGAGGATGTCCCAAGGCGCTGGACAGTTGGGTCGGGAACCGAGCAATGGGGGGGATTGGTCAGGGGGAGGGAAGGGAAGGGAGGGAGCGAGGAGGGGGTCGAGAGTCGAGAGGGGAGCTGAAGGCTGAAGGTCAAAGAGAAAGGTCTTGAGACCGGCCTTGAAGGAGGAAAGGGAGGAAGCGGCGAAGGCACTGCGGGATGGAGTTCCAGAGCCTCGGGGCTGAGAGGCTGAAGGCCACCGATGGTAGGACGGTTGGGGCGGGGGATGTGGAGGAGACCGGAGCCAGAAGAACGGAGGGTACGGGCAGGTATGTGGGGGAATAGTAGATCAGAGAGGTAGGAGGGAGCGAGGCCGTGAATGGCCTTGTAGGTGAGGATGAGGATCTTGAATTCGATCCTCTGGGGGATGGGGAGCCAGTGGAGGCGAGCGAGAGCGAGGGTGAGGGCGAGGGTGAGGGTGGGAGGGATGTGGTCGCGGTGTCTGGTGCGGGACAGTACACGAGCTGCAGAGTTCTGGATGACCTGCAGTGTGGAGGGAGGGTCGGGAAGGCCGACGAGGAGAGAGTTCCCATAGTCCAGCCTTGAGCTGATAAAGGTGTGGACCAGAGTTTCAGCCGCGTGAGGGGTGAGGTAGTGCCGTAGTCTGGCGACATTCCGGAGGTGATGGAAGGCGGTGCCAGTTGTGGTGCTTATGAGGAAGAAAGGACAGTTCAGGGTCGAACAGAACACCAAGGTTCCTGATGGCTTTGAGAGGTGGAGAGTGCGGAGCTGATGTTGTCAACGCCTGAGGTGCGGAGGCGCTGACGTGAGCCAATCAGGAGGGCCTCAGTTTTGCGCACGTTGAGCTGAAGAAAGTTGTCTCTCGTCCATGACTCGATGTCGGACAGACAGCTGTCAGTTCATCGGGGGTCGTGGAGTTGAGGGTAGAGGAGGAAAGGTAGAGTTGGGTGTCATCTGCATACATGTGGGAATGAACCCCATGTCTGCGGATGATGTCACCACAGGGGGAGCATATAGAGGGTGAAGAGGAGGGGACCGAGGACAGATCCCTGAGGGACACCGCACGAGACAGTGCGGGGGGTGGAGCAAAAGCCGTTTGTGGAAACAAAATGAAGATGGTGGGAGAGGTACGACCTAAACCATTCAAGGACAGGGCCTTGAAGGTTCAGGTGGGAGGACAAGCGGTGGAGGAGGATGGTGTGGTTGACTGTATCGAATGTGGCCGATAGGTCGAGGAGGACGAGGAGGCAGAGGGAGCCCTGGTCACAGATGGTCAAGATGTCATTGGTGACCTTGACCAGGGCGGTTTCTGTGCTATGGGCAGCATGGAAACCCGACTGAAGCGGTTCGAATAATGAATGGATGGAGAGGAAAGAGTGCAGCTGGGAGGCCACAACGCTTTCAAGGACCTTGGACAGGAAAGGGAGGTTGGAGATGGGCGGTAGCTTGACAGCTGCGACTCATCAAGGGAGGGTTTTTTCAAAGTGGGAGTCATGGTGGCAGTTTTGAGGGGAATGGAAACAGAGCCAGAGGAGAGGGACAGGTTGATGATATCTGTGATATGTGGGGCAAGGAGGTGGAGCTGGGAGATAAGGAGTGGAGTGGGGATGGGGTCAAAGGAGCACGTGGTGGGTTTCAGGGATAAGATGAGGTTGGTGACAGAGGGTGGGGAAATGGGTTCGAATGCGTTTAGGGGAGGATGGGTAGGAGTCAGAGTGTGGGAGGGAAGGGGTGGGTGGAAGTTGGAGGGGCAGTGACCGCGGAGCGGATTCCCTTCTCCACAGCACCCTCTCCACCACACTCTTCTCCACAGCACCCTCTCCACCACACTCTTCTCCACACTACCCTCTCCACCACACTCGACGCTCTTGCCCTCCCGATCTGCCACCTATTCCCGATCCTCACCTTGGTTCACCAGCCACCTCAGCTTGTTTAAGGGCCAGGTTCGAGCTGCTGGACGCACCTGGCTCAAATCCGGCCTAATGGTCCACCACCACATCTCATCAAAACCTACCTCTCCGCTCTCACCTTAGCCAAATCGTCCTTCTATTCCAGGTTAATCCTGGAGGCGAATGGCAACCCCAGGCTCTTGTTCTCCACCAACAACCGGCTCCCCGCCACACCTCGCAGATTCTTTCCTCTGACTCTCACTGCGAGAAAATGCTGGACTTCGTTGAGTCCAAAATCAAGGGAATCCACTCAGCTGCCACTGCCCTCCCAACTTCCACCCCCTCCCTACCCCCACTCCACACTCCAACAATTATCCATCCCTCCTTCCACACCTTTGAACCTGTCACCCCTCCTCTATCATCACCACCATATCCTTCATGAAGCCCACCACCTGCTCCCTGGACCCCATCTCCATCCCTCTTCTTAAATCCCAGCTCCACCTCCTTGCCCCACTACTCACCGACATCATCAACCTCTCCCTGTCATCTGGCACTGTTCCTTTCCCCCTCAAAACCACCATTGTCATCCCCACTTTGAAGAAACCTTCCCTTGACCGATCACAGCTATCCAGCTACCGGCCCATCTCAAACCTCCCTTTCCTGTCCAAGGTCCTTGAGAGAGCCGTTGACTCCCAGCTTCGCTCTTTCATCTCCTCCCACTCCCTCCATGAGCCCCTCCAATCGGGTTTCCATGCTGCCCACAGCATGGAAACTGCTCTGGTCAAGGTCACAAATGACATCCTGACCATGTGTGACCAGGGCTCCTTCTGTCTCCTCATCCTCCTTGACCTCTCCGCTGCCTTTGACAGTGTGGACCACTCAATCCTCCTCCACTGCCTTTCCTCCCACCTCAACCTTCAAGGTTCTGTCCTTGACTGGTTCAGGTCCTACCTTTCACACCGCCTCCACTTCTTCACAGCAAACAGCTTCTCTTCCAGCCCCCGCACTGTCTCGTGCGGTGTTCCTCAGGACTCTGTCCTCGGTCCCCTCCTCTTCACCCTCTACATGCTCCCCCTTGGTGACATCATCTGCAGACATGGGGTAAATTTCCACATGTATGCGGATGACACACAACTCTATCTCTCTGCCTCCACCTTCAACTCCAGGACTACTGGCACTCCAGCACCTCGGGCGCTATCAGCATCAGCCTCCATTGCTGCACACTCAATCTCACTAAGTCAATCAGGAACCTGGGTGTCTTGTTTGACCCTGAACTGTCCTTTCTCCTCCACATCCGCGCCATGACCGGCACTGCCTACCACCACCTCCGCAACATTGCCAGACTCCGCCACTGCCTCACCCCTCAGGCTGCCCAAACCCTCACCCGCGCATTGGTCACCTCAAGGCTCGATTACAGGAACTCCCTCCTCATCGGCCTTCCCAATTCTTCCCTTCACAAGCTGCAGATCATTCAAATCTCTGCAGTTCATGTACTCTCACACACCAGGCTCCGTGACCCCATCACTCCCACCCTCGCCCGACTCCACTGGCTCTCCATCCCTCAGAGGATTGAATTCAAGATCCTCGTCCTCACTTTCAAGGCCATCCATGGCCTTGCCCCCTCTTACCTCTCTGACCTGCTGACTCCCTACCAACCTGCCCGCTCCCTACGTTCAGTGGGCTCCAGCTGCTCCATGTCTCCCGCCCGACCCGCCCTACCATCGGCGGCTGAGCTTTCAGCCTCTCTGCCCCCACACTCTGGAACTCCCTTTGCCTCACTTCCTCCCTCGCCTCCTTCAAGGCTGGTCTCAAGACCCTTCTCTTCAATCGTGCCTTTGGTCGCCCTCCCACCTCTTTGCCTTCCCTCACATGTATACCACCCCCTCCCCCATGCTCGGGCCCCGATACCTTTGGGACTTCCTCCCAATGTGAAAGGTGTTCTATAAACGTAATTTTGTTGTTATGGTACTCTACACTATATTCCCAATACTCTATACTATATTCCCCTAAATATATTCCCAATAGTATATATTATATCCCCAATACTCTATACTATATTCCCAGTACTATATACTATATTCCCAATACTATATTCCCAATACTCCATACTATATTCCTAGCACTATATTCCCAATAATCTATACTGTATTCCCAATTCTATCTATTATACTCCCAATACTATACTTCCAATACTATATTCCCAATACTGTCTACTGTATTCCCAATACTCTACTATATTACCAATACCCTCTACTATATTCCCAATAATATATTCCCAATAGTATATACTATATTCCCAATACTCTATACTATACTCCCAATTCTATGCACAATATTCCCAATACCATATTCCCAATACTATACACTATATTCCCAATACTATATTCCCAATACCCTCTACTGTATTCCCAATACTCCCTACTGTATTCCCAATAATATATTCCTAATAGTATACACGATATTCCAAATACTCTATACTATATTCCCAGTACTATATACTATATTCCCAACAATATATTCCCAATACTGTATACTACATTCCCAATAATATATTCCCAATACCCTTTGCTATACTCCCAGCGCCCGCTCCTCCGTGCCCCCAGTGCCCACTCCTCCGTGCCCCCAACGCCTGCTACTGTATTCCCAATACTATAGTCCCAATACTATCTACTGTATTCCCAATACACTGCATTCCCATTACTGTATACTATATTCTAATACCATATATTATATTCCCAATAGTATATACTCTATTCCCTATACCATATACTATCACAATGTGAGTTTAAATGTTACACATAATAAAGCATTTAAAGCCTCAATTTCATGGCATTGACATGAACATAAGATTTTTCCATTCACTTATTCAAGTCTGTAACATCTTTGGAACAAACACAAAAACAAAATACATTTCATATCTTACCTGGCTCACATCTGGGGAGTTTTGTTCCGAGCTCATCATTGACCCAAAACCCATTCTCCATACAGGCATAGGTACCTGGTTATAAACAGAAATGGCTGTGAGAAACGTGAACCATTCAGCCCACTCTGAATATCAGAAGCTATAACTGTTCACCAATAAGACATAATTACATTTGAACCACAAAGTCTTTACCTGTGGTTAGTAGCTATACTGCCTTGTGTTTAGCTCAATACCTAATAAATATTTGGACACTCACTGTTCATCTCTGGAATCATTACATAAAATACGTCTTGGCAACAATATTGCACAGCAGATCCGTATGTTGTCAGATTGCCTTTTGTCTGGAATCTGGGAAATCCATCTTCGAGCACCTCGGGAGTCCCACAGTCTACAACTGAGCAAGTAAAAATACAGTAAAAGCCTAGCTTTGTACTTAAAACAATTGTATTTAATTCAAGTTCTCTAACTATATCGCCCTAAAAGAATAGTGCTGCACGTATTGCAAACAATATTTGCATTAATATGTTCTTACATCATGAAACTAATTTTCAGTCATGTTTATTGTCAAACCTTTTATAGCAAAAAGTATGTAAATATTTTACAACTCTAAACATTGTTTCATTTATTTACTTGAACTGAATTATACCAGGAACCGCTCCTTGTCCTGTTCAGCAGTCTGAATCCTGAGCTGCTTTCCATGTATTTGGTGCTCCGCACTGCCTGAAAACACTGCTTGTGAGTGAGCGTTTCAAATTGCATTATAATCCAATGAGTCGCCTGTTAAGTAACATAAGCTCATTCATAATGAATGAGGTTGGACTTCTCATAAACCGATGTTAATTTCTAGCATTTCAGGTAACTATTTCATCTCCCTTTGTAATCCATGCACTACACAACAGTAACTTACTGCTGGATAACTAATGATTATCATTCTGAAGCAGTAAATATGTCTAACAATACTTGTTGACAATGTACAAACCAAATTAACACCATTGATAGTTGTCTACCAGTAATGAAGCTCCTGTAATGTGTGCAATACCACAAGCTTATTCTGCCCTTTACCACACTGAGTGCGACAAATAAAGCACATCAACAGAGAAAGGAGCAACTGTTCATTAATGGTGTGTCCAGCTCAGAGTTCGGGGCAGACAGGCAGACAACTGCAGACAGTGTTAGCCAGACTCGACAGATTGAAGCTGAATCCATGTAGAGGCTCAACAAAGGATTTCAGCTTCTCTATTGTGCCAGAAATGTACAGAAGTAAAACAAGTGATCAGACAGTTAACAAAACACTGTTCAGCTCCCCCATTAAAATTGGCCACAGAAATAAACAGCCTGATCACATGCATTAGTGATGACTGATGACTGGGTAATAATTCCTTACAGCCATCACATGCCACATATGGGCAGAGGAAAATAAACAAGTGATCAATTAATCAATTATCTCCAGCACTGCCCAAGGGAGCACAGTGAGGGGTTGAATGATGCATGGACATTAGTACAGTAAAACTCACATAAGTCAAATCAGTCGGGACCATAACATTTATAACATTTATAACAGACAAAGTCCGAGTTGCAGTCAAACTTGCATAAATCGTATAAAATCTGTTTTAATCAATAATCATACTGCACATGTGTAATTCACTGCAGCCTATAAGTGAACTTCCGTTGACGGGTCAGGATGTCATTTCCTGCAATTCATGCAACTGATAATTGCAGGAGTATTGGAGGAGAGGGGAGCATCATTAACAGATAGGAGATAATTAATACTAGTAATGCAAAGAAATCTAAGTGGTTTTGATAGGAAACTGAATGGGACTCAGTACAACAACAACTTGTGTTTATGTAACACCCTTCATGCCGGACCAAGTCTCGGAGCACTTAAGAGCGGTTGAACCCGATACTGAGCCATGAGGAAGGGGACGGTAACCGTAGGCACAATCAAAGAGGAAGATCTTCAAGCACAACCTGAAAATGGGGAGGTGGCAAGGTGAAGGGATTGAGGGAAAGAGTTTCACAGCTTTGTGGGGTAGTGGCTGAAAGCATGGCCACTGATGGTGAGGCCGAGGGTCCGGGGATAAGGAGGGGCCGGAGCCAGTCGAGTGGAGGCAGTGGTAGTGGTTTAGGGAGAGAGCAGGTTGGAGAGATAATAATAATAATAATAATAATCCTTGCATTTGATATAGCGCTTTTCACGTCAGGAGGACGTCCCAAAGCGCTTCACAGAATAGACTGTAAAGTGAATTGACTGTATATTTGTGGGCGAAATGCGGCAGCCAATTGCACATAGCAGAGTCCCACAAACAGTCATGGATTGAAAATGAACAATTTATTATTGTTTTGTTTTGGAGGGATTATTATTAGGCGTGTGGAGTAAGGAAACTTACCCAAGTTTCTTACATGTACGAATTAGGAGATTATACAATTTATAAAGATAAGATTTATGTGAGTTTTACTGTATATATAGTAGTGATCACACCACAAGCATAAATCCTTCAAAGGTTTTAATTTTCAGAGTGTACTTTTACTGTGAACAAAGCAATAACCAAGAAGTTAAAACATTACAGAATTACAGAAGCATGTTAAGTGGAAGACCCAGGGTCAAAATAGTGATGAAAACCATCTACTTCCCACCTCTGAAGATATTGGCATTTCTGCAGAAAATGGTATTGAGTCAGCACTTCTGTCACACAGAGAAGCAGATATCAAGGATTAATGCTTCTTACGACTATCCAGACTTTGCGAGAGATTTTGAACACCAGCTATTTAAACAGGATGAGGTTGCACTGGAGCTGAGTTCTCTAACCCCCATCCAACAGCCTTCCAATATCCTTAAATATTTGTTAATTATTTATCCAATTCCATTTTAAATTCTGTTATGGACTCAGGTTCAACAGTCATTTGTGATAAAAGTATTCCACATTCTAAAATTTCTTGAAAACAGAAAATTTAAACCCTTTAACCTTTAATCAATCTCTACTCCACTCAAACAGTTTCAACGTTTTATGCCTCCTCACACCACTAACATCACATCCCAGTGAATATCCACTGTATCCACTCAATGAGTGATATTCTTTCTGGAGTGATGTGCCCAAAACTGGACAATGTACCACAGATGGAAAATGATCCTAAACTATTTTGATGTTAGTTATTCTAAATCTGTTGCAATTAGCCTTCACAGATGTGATTCATTCCTTTAGATGCTCTAGTTTGTATCTACAATTCAGCCATTCTAGAATCTTCTGATTTGCTGTAAAGACAACTTCACATCCATCTCAATCCATTTTAACTGGTTGATCAGAGAAAGGCACATTTTCCTTCTACCATCGAGGACTCTTTTCAAACTGAATTTACAAAATTTTGACTGTTTTTAATCAGAAGCCACTGCTATAAGCATCTGAACACGTTGCCACACTGCTGCACTGTTGATAGGTTTGTTCGTTCTGACAAGTGGCTCCAGTTTCGTTCTTCTGTCAGCTGGTGCTCAGCAGTCTTTGCTTCATCAACAGTCGGAGTAATCGTCAGTTCCTGGCCCCCTTCTCTGAGTCAGTGAGAATGAAAGGACAGAAAGCAGAGAGGCAGAAAATGAATTGCACAAACACTTGTACAAAGCTCAGGAAGTGGTAAGTTTGTGAGACACTAAAAAGTAAAACAAGATAAATAGAGATGGAACAATGTCTTGCCCCTCGTCTTTGGGTGACTTGTTTGGTATTTGCTTCCAAGTGGCTATACTTCATATACAAGCCTAGGTAATCCAAACTGTAGCAAGCATTAGAGGTGAGCACAATCTATCCATAACCTTCACCGTGCTCCACCGCCCCACCACACACATACACACACACACACAGTAGCACAAGATAGTGTTCCATAGCTGAGTATTCTCTGCCGAGCCTAGTGAAATTGAAGTCAATTGTAATGCTTTCACTGTTATCTCCGGTAACCATCAGTGGACTCAGCACAAGCCAGGGTCAAACCTGAATCAGATATCCCGTAGTTCAGTACCGCACCACATGTACATTTACACGCTAAGCTTGATTTAAAATAATAGCTTCAATTTTGTCTCTTGTTCATAGACATCCGATTCAGTGATGTCTGTGAATAGAAGCTATATTTTACCTACATCAAAGAATGGTGCAATGTGCACTTTTACATAGAGTGACTCCAGTGCAGAACAATTGATCTTTAATTAACAAATATGACCAGATGCCTGGTTCCTTCCCTCTATAACCCCAAAAGCCTCATTGAGAGTTTCAAGAACGTTTACATTGAAGTACACAGGAAGATATGCCAATTTCCTGATGAGCAGAAAGATTGCAGGTGCAGTTTAATGTGGAGAAATGCAGTTTGCAATAGAGTCCTGTGGTTCAGTGGTTAGAGCACTTGCCTCGCAAACGAGAGACCTGGGTTCAATTCCTGACAGGGCGAAATGTTGGACAAGTTTCCTTATTCCACACTGAATACGTAGCAATCAGTAGGAACCCGGTTGTTAGTTGATTGGCGGATCGCTTTCTAGGGATAATAATTCCTTAAAAAAAAATTGGTCACTTCAATCCACGACTATTTGCGGGACACTGCTGTGTGCAATTGGCTGCTGTGTTACTCCCATAAAATATAGTCAATTCACTTTACAGTATATTCTGTGAAGCGTTTTGAGACGTCTTGAAGACATGATAAGACATTATATCAAATCCAAGGATTATTATTATTATTGGGGAGAAAAAAAGATAGTGTGCTGAATCCAAAAATGTACTTGATCAGAACAGGAGAAACTGGAGTTTTGATTGAGTTAAGAAAGCAATCGTCTATGCATGCTGACATTGTTACTGTGTATTACAATAACTACACAAGTTAAATATACCCATAAATACAATTACAACAAAAAACAGCAACTTGCATTCATATAGTGCCCTTCATACGGGGTAGTGTCTCACAGCGCTTAATAGTGGTGGAACCTGATGCCAAGCTGGGGCGAGGGTGGAGGTGATCGTAAGCATGATCAAAGTGGAAGGTCATTGGGTGTGATCTGAAAAGGGGAAGGAGGGGACAAGGTCGAGGGATTGGGATAGTATTCCAAAGTTCCGAGATGCAGTGGTTGAAAGCACGGCCGCCGATGATGGAACAAAGGGGATGAGGGACAAGCAGGAGGACAGAGCCAGCTGAGCAGAGAAGGAAGCTGGTGGAGTTGGAAGTAAACAAGTCAGAGAGGCAGGGAGATGCCAGGGCGAGATGGGATTTGTCGACGAGGGTAAGGATTTTGAAGTTGACCTGTTTTGTGATAGGGAATCAGTGGAGCCAGTCGAGGATTGACGTGAGGGGCGGGTACAGAGTTTAGAGTGGGTGAGTACACAGGAGGCAAAGTTCTGGATTAGTTGGATTTAGTGGATAGTGGAGCTGGGGAGACCGATGAGGAGGCCATTTAAATAATTGATGTTATACAACTGCAGCTATCTACTCAGCTACAAATTCCCTGCTCTTTCCTTTCATCCTTTACAAATGTAATTTTGTTGTTATTCCTTAGCAAATTATTATTTTGTGGACATTGGATCAGGAGAGGACTGGTATTGACTACAACGTCCCTTGGCAGAGTAATGTAGACATTTAGTCAGCAATATATAGAGAGCACCCGTGATAACTGTCGGTCGTTAGGTCCTTCGGGAGAGATGGGGAGAAAAGCAAAGGAAACCTTATAACAATATACAAAAGTGCACAAATTGTATTCAGTGAAAATTCTGTTTCTCATCTGATGCCACTGTCCCTTGCATGCTGTCAGAGAAAGACAAATTTCCCATTCACCAAGTGTCACCAGTATCATTGAATCATAGAATTATACAGCACAGAAGGAGGCCATTCAGCCCATCTCATCTCTGCCAGCTCTTTGAAAAGAGCTTCCAAATCAACCCCACTCCCCCGCTCTCTCCCCATAGCCCTGATCAACCCCACTCCCCCGCTCTCTCCCCATAGCCCTGATCAACCCCACTCCCCCGCTCTCTCCCCATAGCCCTGATCAACCCCACTCCCCCACTCTCTCCCCATAGCCCTGATCAACCCCACTCCCCCACTCTCTCCCCATAGCCCTGATCAACCCCACTCCCCCGCTTTCTCCTCTTAGCCCTGATCAACCCCACTCCCCCGCTCTCTCCCCATAGCCCTGATCAACCCGTCCCCGCTCTCTCCCCATAGCCCTGATCAACCCCACTCCCCCTCTCTCCCCTTAGCCCTGCAAACTTGTCCTCCCCAAATAATTGTCTACTTCTCTCTAAAAAGTTAACGAATCAGCTTCCACCAGCCTTTCAGGCATTGCATTTCAGATCCCAACAACTCACTCTGTGAAAACATTTCTCCTCCCCTCCCCTCTTTCTTTTAACAACTATTTTAAATCAGTGACCTCAGGTTACCAACCCACCCGCCGGTGGGAATAGATTCTCCTTGTTCACCCTATCAAATCCCCTCATAATTTTGAAAACTTCTATTAAGTCTCCTCTTAACCTTCTCTGCTCCAAGGAGAATAACCCTCACTTCTCTACCTCTCCTGATAACTGAAGTCCCTCATTCCTGGTACCATTCTGGTCAATCTCCTTCACACCCTCTCCAATGCTTTCACATCCTTTCCGAAGTGTGGGGCCCAGAACTGAACCCAGTCTCTCGCTGAGGCCTAACCAGTGTTTTATATAAAGGTTCATCATAACTTCCTGACTTGTGTATTCTATGCCCCGATTTATAAAACCTAGTATCCCAGATGCTTTTTTTTAAAAATGGCTTTATCTGCCTGTCCTGCTGCCTTCAGAGATTTATTATATGAACCCCAGGTCTCTCGGTTCCTTCACCGCCTGTAAGATTGTACCATCAGCTTTTATTGCCTCTCCTCATTCTTCCTCCCTAAAATGCATCACTTCCATTTCTCACACATAATTTCATCTGCCCGTGTCTGCCCACGTTACCAGTTTGTCTATATCCTCTTGCAGTCTGCTACTATCCTCCTCATCACTTACTACTTTTCCAGCTTAGTATCATCTGCAAACATGAAAATTGTCCTCCCTGTACCCAAGTCCAGGTCATTTATATAGATCACAAACAGCAGTGGCCCCAATACTGACCCCCGGGGGAACACCACTGTACACTTCCCTCCAGTCAGAAAAACAACTGTTCACCACCACTCTCTGCTTTCTGTCTCCCAGTTCTGTATCCGCTGCCACTGTCCCTTTAATACCGGGGATTTCTATTTTCCTTACAAGTCTCTTATGTGGCACTTTATCAAATGCCTTTTGAAAATCCATATAAACTACATCAACTGCACCTTCTCCGTTACTTCAGCAAAAAACTCTATCAGGTTTATTAACAGAGGGTTTTTTTCATGAAATAACATTATGGGATATAGTATATGGGTAGTTTGGGATATATGTACATGCGACCGCCAGGAAGGTGGAAGGCGAACTAGATGGACCTTGTTCTTTCTTCGTCTAGCATTTCTTATGCTCTTATATGTTATTGGACACAATTTGCCTTTAACAAATCCATGTTGGCTGTGCTTTATTAACTCATTTTTTTTTAAGTGAAAATGTATTTTGTCCCAGATTATAGTCTCTAGAAGTTTCTTCTCAGCTGACGTTTGGCTCACTGTTCAACTCTTCAGCCTCCCATATGCTTCGTAGTGGCTCGTCTTTTCTCGAGCTCGGAAACCCTGAGCTCAAACTCGAGCAGCTTGAAGCACTTCCTACACACGTTTGTCCAGGACACACAAAGAATCCTGGAATTACCACATCACACATTGTGCATGCAACCAATCTCAGCTGCCCTGATGTATTCCCAGACTTGTTTTATATTATTTTAATATAAATATTAAACATTTATAAATATGCACCTCTTTCCCCCTCTGCACCAAATTGCCATTCTCACCAAATTCCTGCACAGAATTCCCACTCTGTTCTGTTCTCATTCTGTTGGGCTTGCTCACAAAACTTCCCCTATAAAATAGGCCTCAGACACACCCAGTTTCAACAGGTCAGCTAATTTACTAATCCCTAACACGTGGCCTGTGACTAACTGCCAATTTGACATTGACGAAGGGTCATGGACCCGATAAGTTCACCCATTTTCCTTTCTCCATAGATGCCGCCTGACTTGCTGATTGTTCCTAGTGATCTCTGTTTTTGTTTCAGATTTCCCAGCATCTGCAGTATTTTGCGTTTTATGCCAATTTGCCTTCTTTGCCTGCTTAAATAAAGGTTGTCTCTTCCTCAAAAAACATTTCCCACTCTTCTGCTGAATGAAAGAGTTCTCTCTTGCTCTCTAGTATCTCTCTTGCTGAAGAATTCCCATTCTCACCAAATTCCTGCACAGAATTCCCACTCTGTTCCGTCCTCACTCAGGTATATCCTCATTCTGCTGGGCTCCCTGCTGAAGTAGCTCTCATCATGATCATTAGTTTCATTCTCCTCATATTGTGAACAGCATCTATGCCAGCCTAGCATCGCTTCTCCAGCCTGTTTGACTACAAGTTTGCAAAGTTGCTAAAATGGTCTCCTTCGCAATTTAATCCTCAATTCACAGTCCAGAATCAGGCAACTGTTGAATCAGAACTTATTGGCACCCACCATGTTACATCTCTCCTTGCAATAAGATGTGGTTCCCCTCATCACCCCCACCACCCCATGTAAAGGTTTCCTGAGTGTGTTGTGAAGTATTTAAACTCTTCCTTGTGTGTTACTCATTGCAATGAGTAACATGAGTAATCTGTTGTTGTTGCAATGCTTCACTTACTTTTACAAGTAGGAATGCTGCTGCTCCATATTCCACTTTTCTGACATTCGATCTGATAAGCCTCCACTTCATCTCCATCCTGCAAAATACAGCCATCAGCCAGGTACAATGTGAACACAGCAAGTTACTGTCACTAACTGTCCAAGAAACCATCAGGAATCCAGTCATAAGAAGGTAACAGGGTTAAACTTACCTTAAAGAAGATGACTGGGTTAGAAAGTCAAAACTATCCATTAGTTAGTTGTCATAAAAGCTCCAGTTTGATTCATTTTACATAATTGAGAAGAAGTAGAAACAAGAGAAAAGCTAAAGAATTTGAATGAAAATAATTGCAAAACCCACATGAATAAATGTAAATGTCTAATAATAAAATTAGGGTGAGAAAGCTTGGCTTGAAATATTCTATGTTCACTTCATTCTATTTGCAGCTGAAATACAAAACATTGCTGAAAATACAAGTAATAATCACACCGCTCTACTGCAGTTCCACACATCAATATATTGTGTGATTTTATACCAAGGAGTGCACTATATTAGAGGAGTTTAGTTATAATACCTTCACAAATTTATATCCAGGGTTGCATCTTATCTGGACTTGATCTTTAAAGGAATATTGTTCAAGAACTGGTTCGATTTTCCCATTATCTGGTGGGGTTAGCAGTGGGCAAGCAGTCCCTGTAGAAGCACAAAGATATATTAAATAGAATTCTACCATAATAAAATCAAGACTTTTAATAATCATTGAACAAATCAGCAAACCTTTCTGGAATTTTCTTTTCTCAGAGATACTTTAATACCGATGTCCGATGTTCAGGCACATTAACAACCTGTGACAGGGACTGTATGCTGGGTGCAGTGCTTTTCTGCACATTGTGACACATTGCTGCTCTGCGCACAGCTACTTTGCACATGCACTTCACTGTACAACACCTATAAACTCTTTCCTCCACAAGCTGCAGATCATCCAGAGCTCTTAGCTCGTGCCCTCTCCTGCAACAGGCTCAGTGATCCCATCACACCCACCGTCGCCCGGCTCCACTGGCTCCCCATCCCTCAGAGGATCGAGTTGAAAATCCTCATCCTCACCTTCAAGGCACTTCCACAGGCCTTACCGTCTCTTACCTCTCCAACTTGCTAACCCCTTATCAACCTGTCCGTTCCCTCCGCTCAGCAGGCCTGCTCCATGTACCATCAGCAGTCAGGCCTTCAGCCTCTCTGCCTCCACCCTCTGGAACTCCACCCATATTCCCTTTGCCTCAAAACCCTCCTCTTCGACCATGCCTTTGGCCACTCTCCTACACTCTCTGCCCTCAACCTGCCCTGATCCCAACCCCTCCCCCTGCTCTGATCTTAATCCCCAATAGCTGACTGTCAGCAATTTGGGATCTCCTTCCGACGTGAAAGGCGCTTTACAAATGTAATTCTGCATTGGAGTCCTGTAGCTCAGTGGTTAGAGCACTCGCTTTGCAAGTGAGAGACCTGAGTTCAATTCCAGGCAGAGGGTGAAACCTCGGGCAAGTTTCCTTACTCCACACAGAGCCTAATAATAATCCTCCAAAAACCAAAAACAATAATAAATTGGTCATTTTCAATCTACGACTGTTTGTGGGACATTGCTGTGCGCAATTGGCTGCCGCGTTCGCCCACAAATATACAGTCAATTCACTTTACAGTGTATTCCGTGAAGCGCTTTGGGACGTCCTCCCGACGTGAAAAGCGCTATATCAAATGCAAGGATTATTATTATTGTATTGTATTAACTTTGTCTTTAGAACATACATAAGGTTCTTATAGAAACTCAACAATTTGTGTGTCAGCTCACATTGGAATTTGAACTCAGTGAGTAAAGCAAACCAGATGTTGGAATGTATCAAAAGATCAATAGCACCCAAAATAGTGAGGTAATCCTCCACTGTATAAATGATTGGTGAGACCATACAAAGCAGTTTTTAGTTTTCTTCCCCCCATTTTGTTCTGCAGTATTAATACCTCTATTCCCCTGCTTCGTTGCAATCCCCCCTTTGTTCAGCATCATTAACACCTCTTTAACCCATCATTCCCTGTCCTCTACCTATTTTCTCTTTTGTATTCCTTGCCCTGCCTCCCCCCTCTCTGTTAGCCCTTAAAAGCCTCTCCCTCCCAACATGTCCCAGTTCTGACGATGGGTCGTGGACCCGAAATGTTGACTCACTTTCCTTTCTCCATAGATCATGACAGGCTGTTTCAATTTGTCCGGAATAGTAAAACCAGAGGACGCGGCCTGCAATTGAAGCGCTTCGAGATGCCGTCCGGCTTGGAGGGCACTATATAAATCCAAGTTGTTATTGTTGTGGTGGTTGAAGGGGTTAAACTCAGAAAGAATCTACGCAAACACTATTTCAGTGAGCGAATAGTAAATCCATGGATCTCTCTCCCCACCTCTCTCTCTCCATCCTCTCTCCCCACCTCTTGCTCTCTTCCCCCCCCACCTCTCTCCCCCCCCCATCTCTCTCCCCCCACCCCCTACCCCCCAACCCTCTCTCCCCCCAACCCTCTCTCCCCCCAACCCTCTCTGCTCCCACCTCTCTCTCTCCCCCACGCCCCTCTCTCCCAATCTCTCTCCCAAGCGCAGGTCACTATCTGCATTGGCAGGTGCCAGCTGTTGGTTGCTAAGGACACGGTTGGTAAGAGACACGGTTGCCTTCCTGACAGACTGCAGTAAAGCCTCTGGGCACTGCGTTCTCCCAACTACTAGCTCCTGCTACTGCCCTGAGAGGACATTCACCAGGGAGGGAGTGGAAGTTAGAAATGGTAGAAATGGTCACGGGCCGCATAACATCACCCACCAGGCTGCCTGTTGGACCAACGCTGGTCTAAGCTGACAATCCAATGCAATGCTGGGGGGTGGGGAGGGGGGATGTTGCATTGTTTGAGGTGCCGTCCTTTGGATGAGACATTAAATTGAGGTCCAATCTGCCTGTTCAGGTGGCCATTAAAGATCCCATGGCACGATTCAAAAAGAAGGGAGCTTCTCTCTCCTGGAGTCCAGGCCAACAATCCCCCATATAATCAGTCAATGGCTATTTGTGGGACATTGCTGTACGCAAACTGGCCGTTGCGTTTCACCCACAAATTACGCAGTCAATCCATGTTACAGTATATCCTGTGAAGCATATGAGCTGTCTCAATGGCATGATAAGGCGCTGTAACAAATGCAAGATTTGTTATTTTTTTCAAAGATTATTATTATAAACTCATTTGCAGGGACAAATAGTTCAGTGGGTAATTACAATATTCTAGGATGTTGCAGTAGGGAGACACTAAACCGAGGCAGGGATTTAAGGCACGTTATACATGACAGATGAGAGGGAGAAGTTTCTGTTTGGCTGTGTCTTCCCTAGTGGGAATACACCAAGTACATTGGCCAGTCTTGATGGTGTGAGTGAAAAATAATACTTTGCATCAAAAAGTTACACTTTTAACCTGTAGACAATCACTCCTCTGGACATTCTAGTGCGCTGCCTTTCTCCACATTGACATCCCTCACCTTGAAAAATCCAGAGATTTTTGTTTAATCATCCTAACTCTGTCAGCTACAGAAATACTATAAATGTTCAAAGCAGAGTACAATTAAGCCAATTCTGCACTCACACTGCTGGTTTACATTCTTCAACCCAGAGTCCTGTCCCTGAGATCGGTAGGAATCTAGGGGCAAAGGGCAGAAGTCAGCAACATCAGAATGAAAGCCACAGTGGAGCAGGTCAGGCACAGGCAAGTAGCCTGTCTCTGCAACAACTGGAAACTCAGCAGTTAGATTTACCACCTTCAAGTCTGAACCAAGTATAAATCAGACTGTCCCAATTTAGTTAATCTAATAAGGAAGGGGGACACATTACAGATAGTTATTTGAGGAAAATATTCTCGCCCCACTCTCTAAACCCTTTCCTGGCAACTAGCATTAAACCAGAGGAGGATTGTGAATAACAGCCACGACAAAACCCGCTTACTAAAAATAACAAATTAGTAATAATTTCTTTCAAACACAATCAGGATCAGTAAGATCATCCCCACTACAACTATTTGCAAGCACAGTATCAGTAGGTACTGTGTATCCTGTAGATAACGCTTCACATCGTGCCCAACAATGCCACAAAGAGATCATTAGATTTCCTTTATGAACCTACCCAATAGTCATCCCTCTGTCTCATAATATTTCATATAAACACTCAGTGATCCCATTTGGAGTCAGATCTCACATTTCGCCAACACAGAATGGCACTAAATCTCTAATATACACAAGTCAATGTCAATGTGTATGGGCAGAGGCGGGCAATGTTGTAGGTGAGGGAAAGCAAAGAGAGTGAGCCTGGATGGTTGGGGGTTAAACAAGACACCAAGGTTCTACACTCCTCCACAGAGTAAGCATCCAGCACTGCACTGGAGCAGCAGCCGAGACTCGGACAAATCTCGACTTGGGACTTGAACCTGAGTCATCTGACTCAGAGGTGACAGTGTAACCGACTGAACCAGGCAGACAACTGAGACTGGGAGAAAAGTGGCTGAAGGCTCATCCACCAATGGAGTAGAACTGTCAGGGGACATGAAGCAGTGCAGAGTTGGTGGAGGGTTTGGCCGGGGGAGTAGAGTCACAGAGGTATTGTAAGGCAATATCTGATCCTGTGGGGCAATATTTGAACCTCGATCTGCTGGGATATAGGGAGCTAGTTGGAGCTAGGCAAGAATAGGGGTGATGAGCTTGCAGATACTAGTGTGGGAAACAATGCAGTTGGTAGAGTTTGCTTCATGGACTAAAAGCTCAATGTAACCAGCACAAGAACAACCTAATGATATGACATATAGGAAAGAAACCACAGGAAAGATTTGTTTCAGAAACACTCCGAGCCGTACTCAAGAGCAAGCAGCTCACCCAAGGACATGTAGGAGAACGTCCAGCCATTATTCTCTCCTGAGTCATCACTGTGGAACAGGATCTGCACACTGTTGGTTCCGGTCTCGATCAGTCCAGGGCTCTTTTCTCCACAAAATGGACCAAACTCTTTTTTCCCAGCTTTGATCTGCAACAACAAGCAATAAAAGAGAATAGCACATAAAATTTCCTATAATACAAATGCAACAATTATTTTAAACAGAAAGTCAGTAAAATGCAATAATTCCTGCTCAGCCCCTAGAAACAAACAGCCAATCAGCCCCAAACACCAGTGCCAAGCTGCTCACAAATGAAAAGGATAGAAAATATCAAAATGCAGCTAATGATTTTGTTGTTCAACTTAAAGAATCCAGTGTGCGGGCAGGTCAGTCTGTGCCCAGTGTGCGGGCAGGTCAGTCTGTGCCCAGTGTGCGGGCAGGTCAGTCTGTGCCCAGTGTGCGGGCAGGTCAGTCTGTGCCCAGTGTGCGGGCAGGTCAGTCTGTGCCCAGTGTGCGGGCAGGTCAGTCTGTGCCCAGTGTGCGGGCAGGTCAGTCTGTGCCCAGTGTGCGGGCAGGTCAGTCTGTGCCCAGTGTGCGGGCAGGTCAGTCTGTGCCCAGTGTGCGGGCAGGTCAGTCTGTGCCCAGTGTGCGGGCAGGTCAGTCTGTGCCCAGTTTGCGGCCAGGTCTGGTTGTGCCCAGTGTGCGGGCAGGTCTGGTTGTGCCCAGTGTGCGGGCAGGTCTGGTTGTGCCCAGTGTGCGGGCAGGTCTGGTTGTGCCCAGTGTGCGGGCAGGTCAGTCTGTGCCCAGTGTGCGGGCAGGTCAGTCTGTGCCCAGTTTGCGGGCAGGTCTGGTTGTGCCCAGTGTGCGGGCAGGTCTGGTTGTGCCCAGTGTGCGGGCAGGTCTGGTTGTGCCCAGTGTGCGGGCAGGTCTGGTTGTGCCCAGTGTGCGGGCAGGTCAGTCTGTGCCCAGTGTGCGGGCAGGTCAGTCTGTGCCCAGTTTGCGGGCAGGTCTGGTTGTGCCCAGTGTGCGGGCAGGTCTGGTTGTGCCCAGTGTGCGGGCAGGTCAGTCTGTGCCCAGTGTGCGGGCAGGTCTGGTTGTGCCCAGTGTGCGGGCAGGTCAGTCTGTGCCCAGTGTGCGGGCAGGTCTGGTTGTGCCCAGTGTGCGGGCAGGTCTGGTTGTGCCCAGTGTGCGGGCAGGTCAGTCTGTGCCCAGTTTGCGGGCAGGTCTGGTTGTGCCCAGTGTGCGGGCAGGTCTGGTTGTGCCCAGTGTGCGGGCAGGTCTGGTTGTGCCCAGTGTGCGGGCAGGTCTGGTTGTGCCCAGTGTGCGGGCAGGTCTGGTTGTGCCCAGTGTGCGGGCAGGTCTGGTTGTGCCCAGTGTGCGGGCAGGTCTGGTTGTGCCCAGTGTGCGGGCAGGTCTGGTTGTGCCCAGTGTGCGGGCAGGTCTGGTTGTGCCCAGTGTGCGGGCAGGTCTGGTTGTGCCCAGTGTGCGGGCAGGTCTGGTTGTGCCCAGTGTGCGGGCAGGTCTGGTTGTGCCCAGTGTGCGGGCAGGTCTGGTTGCTCGGAGGGTGACTCACCTTTAAGTAATCATAAGGACAGGGTACTTCGGGATGGTCCTCCACATCAAACTGTTCCAGAAACTGCAGGTTGATGAAGAGACCCTCCTCCAGCTCGATTCGATAGAGACAATCACTACTCTTGGGATACGAGTTGGGGTAGTCAGGGCTGCTGATCACTCCAGATTTCTCAGTGAAAAGGTTGTCATTACACTCGACTGAGGGAAGCAAGAGCAAGATGGAGAGAAAGGGAGAGAGAGAGAGAGAAAAAAAACAGAGACAAAATGAGATAGAAATAGAGAGAAAGCAAGATTTCAAAAAGTGAAAGAGAGGGTGAGAGAAATAAAGAACAAGATAGAGAGCAAGAGAGAGAGAGAGCGAGAGAGTGAGGGGGAGACAAAGAAGGAAGTGTCAGTTCAAATGTTGCACCGAGGGTCAGAAGAAAAGTAGGTACAGCCCACCGCCTCCACCTACCCTCAAACCCACCGACCCTCACCCCGACTGAGCATCATCCACACCGACCCACACCCCCACCGACCCACACCCCCACCGACCCTCAGCCCTTCCACATATCTAACCCCACACCACCTACCCTCACTCCTACCTACCCCCAAACCCACCTACCCTCACCCACTCCTACACTCACACCCCACCTACCGTCAGCCAGCCACCTATCCTCACCACCCCACCTACCCGACCCTACCTACCAAGATAGGCAATGTGGTAAACGAGGAAGGGGGGCGGCTCTGCTAATAAAGGATGGGATAAAAACAGTAGAGAGGAAAGATTTTAAATCAGAAAAGCAGGAAGTAGAGTCAGTATGGGTAGAGGTATGTAACAACAAGGGGCAGAAAACTCTAGTGGGAGAAGTTTATAGACCCCCGAACAGCAGTCACAGTATCTCTCAAAGTATAAATCAGGAAATTAGCAGAGCTGTAGCAAAGGAAAAACATTAATTGTGGGTGATTTTAATCTGCACATAGATTGGGACAACCAAATTGGGAAAAATATGATAGAGGAAGAGTTTATAGAATGTATTAGGGATAATTATCTCGATCAGTGTGCCGAGGAGCCAACCAGGGAACAGGCCATATTAGACCTTGTTTTGTGTAATGAAGCAGAGCTGATCAGCAAACTGGAAATTAAGGCTCCTCTCGGGCAAAGTGATCATAATATGATGGAATTCAGCATTACGTTAGAGAGAGTAGTTAAGTCTGAAGCAAAGGTCTTAAATTTAAGTAGAGCCAACATTGCTGGTATGAGAGAGGATTTAGCCAAAATAAACTGGGAAATTCCCAGCGAGCAGGTATTCCTTTGAGGAATAAGAATGCCACGGGAAAGGTGACCCAACCGCGGCTAACGAGAGCAGTTAGAGAAAGTATAAAGTTAAAGGAAGAAGCCTATAAAACAGCTAAGATGAGTAGTAAACCCGAGGATTGGGAGAACTTTAGGGATCAACAAAGGAGAACCAAAAAAGTGATTAAGAGAGAGAAAATGGAATATGAGGGCAAACTAGCGAAGAAAATAAAGACAGACTGTAAGAGTTTTTATAAATATATAAAGAGGAAGAGGCTGTCAAAGGTAAATGTGGGTCCGTTACAGGCAGAGACGGGGGGAATTATAGTAGGGGACAAAGACATGGCAGAGTCATTAAACAAGTACTTTGCTACTGTCTTCACCTTAGAAGACACTGAAAACCTACCAAGAATAGAGGGGAACCAAGAAGACAATGTTAGCGAGCAACTTGGAGGAATTAATATTAGTAAAGAAATGGTTTTAGGTAAATTGTCAAGTCTTAAAACTGATAAATCTCCTGGACCTGATGGCCTACATCCGAGGGTTTTAAAAGAGGTGGCCACTGAGATAGTGGATGGCTTGTCTTTGATCTTCCAAAATTCTCTGGATTCTGGACCGATTCCCATTGATTGGAAGATTGCAAACGTAACACCACTATTTAAGATGGGCGGGAGAGAAAAGATGGGGAACTATAGACCAGTTAGTCTGACATCAGTGGGAGGAAAAATTCTGGAGTCCTTAATTAAAGATGTTGTTATAGGATTCCTGGAAGACCATAACAAGATTAGGCAGAGTCAACATGGCTTTACAAAAGGGAAGTTGTGCGTAACTAATCTTTTAGAGTTTTTTGAAGATGTATCTGCAGGTTAGATAGGGGGGAACCAGTAGATGTAGTATATATAGATTTTAAAAAGGCATTTGACAAAGTGCCACACAAAAGGTTATTGCACACGTTAAGGCCCACGGGATTAATGAGAACGTATTAGCATGGATTGAAGAGTGGCTAACGGGTAGAAAACAGAGAGTAGGGATAAACGGGTCATTCTCGAATTGGCAGGATGTGACTAGTGGAGTGCCACAAGGATCAGTGCTTGGGCCTCAGTTATTGACAATCTACATCAATGATCTAGACGAGGACATTGAATGTAACGTATCTAAATTCCTGGATGACACTAAACTCGGTGGGAGAGGGATGCAAAAAGATTGCAATGGGATATAGATAGGCGAGGGGAGTGGGCGAGGAGGTGGCAGATGGAATTTAATGTGGGGAAGTGTGAAGTTATTCACCTAGGTAGCAAAAATAGAAACACAGATTATTTTCTAGAGGGGGAGAGATTAGATAGTGTTAGTGTTCAGAGGGATTTGGGTGTCCTCGTACACCAGTCTCAAAAAGTTTGTTTGCAGGTGCAGCAGCAACTAAGAAGGCAAATGGCACGTTAGCGTTCATTGCAAAAGGTTTACAGTACAAGAGTAGGGAAGTCTTGCGGCAACTGTACAGGGCTTTGGTGAGACTGCGCAGAGAGTATTGTGTGCAGTTTTGGTTTCCTTATTAAAAAAGGACATACTTGCCCTCGAGGGGGTGCAGCGTAGATTCACTCGGTTAGTTCCTGGGATGAGGGGACTGACCTATGAGGAGAGGCTGAATAAACTGGGGCTATATAGTCTAGAGTACAGAAGAATTAGGGGAGATCTTATTGAAATGTACAAGATTCTTAAATGGCTGATAAAGTAGTCACTGAGGGTCTGTTTCCCCGGTGGGAGAATCTATAACGAGGGGTCATGGTCTGAAAATTAAGGGTCAGCCTTTTAGAACAGAGTTGAGGAAACATTTCTTCACTCAGAGGGCAGTGAATTTATGGAATTCACTACCCCAGAAGGCTGTAGATGTCAGTCCTTGAACATCTTCAAGGCTGAGATTGATAGATTTTTAAAACACCGAGGCATTAGGGGATATGGGGACAGGGCAGGTAATTAGAGTTAGGTCTGAAGATCAGCCATGATCTTATTGAATGGCGGGGCACAGGCTCGAGGGGCCGAATGGCCTACTCCTGCTCCTAATTCTTATGTTCTTATGCCCCACCTACATTCAGCCCCCCACCTACCCTCATCCCACCTACGCTCAGCCCTCACCCCACCCTACCTACCCTGAGCCCCCACCTACCCTCAATCCCCCACCTGTCCTCAATCGCCCACCAATGCTCAAACCCCACCAATGCTCAATACCCCAACAATCCTCAATCCCCCACCGATCCTCACCTCCACCACCTACCCTCACCCACTACCTACCCTCACTTCACCCAACCTCCTCCCAGGCCGCCCCCAGCCCTCCCCATCTGCCCTCAGGCCCCACCCCCACCTTTCCTCAGGACCTCCCCCCACCTCCCCTTAAGCCCCACCTCCCCTCAGGCCCCACCTCCCCTCAACCCCCCCCCACCTCCCCTCAACCCCCCCACCTACCTTCAACCCTCCACACCTCCCCTCAGGCCCCCCACCTACCCTCAACCCCCCACCTACCCTCAACCCCCCCACCTCCCATCAACCCCCACCTACTTTCTGCCATCCACACCTAGCCTCAGCTTCCCCACCTCCCCTCAGCGCCCCACCATCTACCCTCAGCCACCCCACACACACTCCCACGATTGCTGCAACCACCTTTGCAGGTCCTGTTGTCTGAATGCAGAATGTAGCCGAATCGGCATGAGCAGTAGAAGCCACCAATGTAATTGTGACAGAAGTGATCACATGTCAGCCCCTCATCCAGCTTCTCCTCACACTCATTGATATCTGAAAGACACAAATAAGGACAGTGAGTGACGAGTGTGAATACATGTTAGATTAGGATAGTACAAATCCTTAAAACAAAAACAGAAGTCGCGGAGAAATGCCAGAAATTATTTTTTGGATGTTGAGGCTGATGCGGTGGAAAGTGAGGACCAGGGGTACCCTACCATGGTCCTGGGAAGAGGGGGAAGTGGTGAGGGCACAGTTGCAGGAAATAGGGCGCCATTTCCGGCACCTCCAGATTGACCCAACCATTAAACATATCTTTCCCTCCCCTCCCCTCTCAGCATTCCGAAGGGACCTTTCCCTCCATGACTCCTTGGTTCATTCCTCCATCAACACCAACAGTTCCTCTGCTCCCCCCGGCACCTTCCCATGCCAGCGCAGGAGATGCAATTCCTGCCCTTTCACCTCCTCCCATAGCACTGTCCAGAGCCCCAAACACAGATTTCAAGTGAGACAGTGATTCACGTGCACTACCACCAATGTGGTTTACTGCATTCGCTGCTCACAATATGGTCCCCTCTACGTTGGGGAGATTGGCCAAACGCAGGTTGGGTGACAGATTTGCCGAACGTCTCCATTCTGTCCACAAGCTCAACCCTCAGCTTCTGGTCTCTTGCCATTTCAACTCTCCCTCCCACTCTGACCTCTCCTCCATGGTCTCCTACGCTGCTCCAATGAGCCACAGAGCAAGCTCGAGGAACAGCACCTCATCTATCTGCTCGGGACCTTACAGCCCTCTGGCCTCAGTACTGATTTCAACAATTTCAGACCATAACAGCTCTCATTCCCCCTCTATGTGACCATCACCACATTATCTTGGTCCCAGATACACCTTTTCTCTCCCTGATCTACCTGTTTTGTTGAAAGTTATTTCCCTCCCCCCTACTTTTGTTCTGCAGTATTACACCTCTATTCCCCTGCTTTGTTGCAATCCCCCACCTTGTTCTGCATCATTAACACCTCTTTAACCTGTCCTTTTTTCCTCTTGTCTTCCTTGCCCTACCTCCCCTTCTCTGTTAGCCCTTAAAAGCCTCTCTCTCCCAACATGCCCCGGTTCTGACGAAAGGTCATGGACCCAAAACATTGTCACTTCCCTTTCTCAAAAGATGCTGCCTGATCTGCCCAGTGTTCCCAGCGACTTTTGTTTTCAGATTTCCAGCAGTATTTTGTGTTTTCTTTAGTACAAATCTTTGACTGTCCAGTGCTTTGAGAAGTCCTCCCGACATGAACAACAACAACAAAATTACATGTGTACAGTGCCCTTCACATCGGGAGGACGTCCCAAGGTGCTGACAGTCAGTCTTTTGTACCCGAGTGGGGGTCGGGATCGGGGAGGGTGGAAGGCAGGGGGGGGAAGGAGGGTGACTGAAGGCACAAACAGAAAGCTATTCAGCCCAGAGCCCACCTCGTGGCTACATTCTCCCTTGATTCCAAGATGACCTTCTTAACACAACCTAATATCTCTCCTTTGTAAATATTTATCCATCTCCCATTTGTTGTCAAAGCCAACAGTAACTTTTTTATGAATCTTTAACAAACCAAGGCAGTCACTTCAGCCTCACGCCGTCCCAGAGATGACTGGGGAAGCATTGGGAGCACAATCACTCACCTTCAGCAGCATAATGAACCTTGAAGCCTGTGAAACGCTCCTCATTGGAGAAGTCTGACTGGAAGGTGAGTGACATGGTATTTCCATGGGAGTAGATGGTTTGCTGTCCTGGGGTCTGTTCGGTGTCTGTTCTCTCCTTTCCACAGAATAACAATGGCTGCTCAGCCCCACTCTCCACCTGAATCGGGAGCAGACAGAACACAAGAGGAGTTTCTTCTGCATTTTAATTGATAGGATTTATGATCTAGTATTCGCAACTGTGAGGATGGAACAGGAAATGCAGGTATGGAACTGAACTTGGTCCACTCACGTACTGGCTGGCATACAAGTCATTTCTGCTTTCACAAGCAGCACAGAAAATAACAGTAATTCGTGTATTATTCACACATTGGTGTCAGACAAACTCTCTCACAGGTTAGGCCACCTTACATAGTGTTGTCGTGCTCGGAGTGGCTTGTATATGTGGCAGTATATGGAGCAGTGTATGTGGGTGGTGTGTACTGGTGTGAGCGAGGCAGGTGGGAGCACACAGTGCCTGGGCTGGTGTGAGCAGAGGGAGCTGGGCTAGTGTGAACACAGGTGACTGGGCTAGTTTTAGCACACAGTGACTGGGCTGGTGTGAGCACAGTCACTGAGCAGGTGTGAGCACAGCAACTGGGCTGGTGTGAGCACACAGTGTGTAATGACTGCGAGGAGGAGTTATTCTCTGGGGAAACTCACTCCATTATTTAGTTTATTTAAAATAAACAAAAGTCATCCTAATGTTTAATTGGCAAACAGGAGTTGAACTGCTCAGTACAGCTCCCACTTATCAGTGTAAGTCTATAAACTCCATCGCAACACCCTCACCCTCAACACCCTCACCTCCACCTCAACACTTTCACCCCACCTCATCTCCACCTTCAACATTTTGCCCCTCTCAAATTCTGAACTGCTTCCTACCCTACAAGTACAACAATCTCTTCCAAACATTAAAGTCTAAAAGATATGCATCAAAGCATGACTCAAATCTGGCCTCACTGTCTACTACACATCTGGCTGGTCCAAACCAAAATTTCCTTTTCACTTCTCCAAAACTTCCCCATCTCCATCTCTTTTGCCAAATCTTCCTTCTATTCCAGTATCCTGGAGGACACAGATAACCCCAGACTCCTCTTCCCCACTCACACCCCCTCATTCATTCCCTATCCAGGAGCGAGGGGCATTACCCGCAGCGGTTCCAAGAGGAGCTGAGAAGTGTAATGATAGAAAATAATATCTCAGGATGCAGCATATATAGTTTGGAACATGAATGTCAAGCGAATTCCAGGATGTAATGATTATTTTGGATGTATTTTGTAGGGAATACAGCAGTTAATTTGTGTACAGAAATATCCCACAAACAGACATTAAATAAACACCGTGTTGAGACTTGAGCTCATAGTCTAAGTCGATAGAGCATTGTAGTATTGGGAGGAGACATTGTCTGAGACGCTTCCCTGATATAAGAACATAAGAATCTTCTGGCAAAAGAAGACCAAGGTCCAGCTCGTTCACCTTCCACCATCCTGGCAGTTGCTTGACATGTCGTGTTCCAAACTATATATTGTATCCCCAGATATTATTTTCCAGCAGAAATCATTTGTTCTTGAAACAAACAACATTTTCTGCTTCCATCATCTCCCGAGGGAGCCTTTATATTCACTACTCGCTCACTGAAGTGATGTTTATGCAGATTTGCTCTGAATTTACTCCCCTTCAATCGCAGGCCCTGTCCTCTGGTTCTACTGTTCAGTACAAAATAAAACAGCTTATCATGGACGACATTATCTATTCCCTTCAGGATCTTAAAGACCATAATCATATTGTCCCTCAACCTTCTCTTATCCAGTGTGAACATGCCCAGTTTATCTAATTGTTTCTCATGGTCCAGTCCCTTCATCCCCTCAGTCATTTGGTTGCTTTCCTCTGTAACCTTTCAATCACTGCAATATCCGTTTTAGATTGCAGTGACCAGAACTGCACACAGTATTCCAAGTGCAGTTGCATCAGTGATTTATAAAGTGGCAGCATTACCCCACTATTTCAGCTCAATATTGCCCTTTTAATACAGCCCAGCATCTGGTTTGCCTAACTCACTTCTACCGAGCACTATTGCGATAGCTTTATTTTATTATCAATCAGGTCATTTTCTGTACAGATTATTTTCTTACCATTTAAATAATAGTCCCTTCCTGGATTTTTGTCCTCATGTGAAGCACTTTGCATTTCTCCACATTAAATTTCATCTGCCATCGATCTGCCCAATTCCCAAGAAAGTTCAAGTCCTCCTGTAACCTCTCTTGTTCATCTTTGCAGTCTACCACCTTCATTAGCTTTGTGTCATCTGTAAATTTAGGCACTGTGCTTGTGACTATTAGCTGCAGGTAATCTATGAAGATGTTAAGTAAAAGAGGTCCTAAAACCGACCCCTGTGGAACTCCACTGATAACATTCTCCCAACCTGATGACATTCCCTGTACCACCACCCTCTGGGTTCTATGGATCAGCCAATCCATTGCAAGATACTTCCTCTGAATTCCTGCTTTCTTTACTTTCAGTACCAGCTTTTCATGAGAAACTGTATCAAAAGCGTTATTGAAATCCAGATATACATTATCCACTGCCTTCCCCTTATCAAAGCTCCTTTGGCATACAGTCAAAGAAAACTGGTAAATTAGTTTGGCTTGAGCTACCCTTCCTAAACCCAGATTGGCGATTTTTTATCATTTTATTATTCTCCAGACGCTCCACCACTTTATTTTATGAGATGTTAAATCAAGATGCCATTTGCTGAATGTTAAAGATGCTGTGACACTATTGGGAAAAAAGGGAGTTTTTCAATTTATCCCTTTTTTCCTAGTCCCTAACCAACAGACCTCCAGATAAATTGGTTATTCTTTTTATGATTATTTGGGGAACCTGATGGTGCACAAATTAACTGCCATGTTTGTCTACAAAATATAGTCACTACACTCTGGCAGGAATCTCGTGCAAAGTATTTACAATATACATTGTATATGCTAAATTAAATGCAAGGTTTATTATCATTAGATGAAATAATCTAATAATTATTACTGCTCAGAGTACAGCTCAAATCTATCTCTCGCACATTGTGCTTTACCACGGCCAATCTAGCATCAGTCCCTTCACCCAGTGAATCTGGGAGCTCAATGTACTGTGGACCAGGGATTTCCAGTGATGTTAGCAAAATGAATTTCAGTTAACAGCCGTCACAATGAAGAAATCTTTTCCAATCCATGTGGGCGGGATTTAATTTACTTTCATTATTATGACAGGGCATAGATAACTCTGTAAAGGATGGTGGATAATTGTTACTTTCTGTTCAACAGAGCATGTGTTGGCAAAAGGAGACTTTTGGGAACTGGAAACTATTGTTTTCAGGCTTATCCAAGAAAATAAACAGAAAAATTGCAGAAATTAAAATACAACATTGCCACACCTACAGAAGCGAGGAATTTTATAGTGCCTTCTGATTTCAAAACGTTTCAAAGCATGAATGAACAGGTAATTACTGCACTTGTAGTCAAACGCAGCAGCCATTTGTGGTAGCAAAGTCCTACAGAGATGAACGAACGTAGCCCTTCAGAGCCTAAATGTAATTTTGACAATTGAGAATCATTGGATATACATCAGCGTTGTGTGAAGCTGATCACAAACCGCGAGATGGTTCACAAACCATCTACTAAACTGGCTAGTTTGGTTGGAGGACCTCTCACGTTACAAAGGCCCACAATCTTAGGGTCATTTGAGGCTATATGTGTGGTGCAGCTGGGCATGTTATTAAAACATGTCAGTGTCAACGACAAGCTCAGCTGCTGATGGGAGACAGCCGGGCTTGCTGCACTCCCTGCATTGATCTGTCAGGCTTCTCTTCATCATCTGAGAACAGAAACAAGTTCAACAGTTCACAGTAAATCTAAACAAAGTGCTGGAGAATATTTACTGAAAACTTCTTGTGTACATTCGGAAAATCATTTACTCTGTTTCAGAAGTGCTGGTAAATAATTGTGTTGCGTGTGTTTGAAGGGGAGTCGTGGGCCTCATGAGGCAACTTCCCTTTGGTCAAGTTCCATGCTTTCTGTGATGTACAAACTCCTGATAACTTGTAACTCCAAGCATAAAGGGCAGTGACGAGTTAACCATGAGTGGGCGAGTTAGGCATATGTATAAATATATAATTAAATGCAACCAGGATATTGACAGCTTGTTGACCTAAATGGTAACAACAAGTTAAGACACGGCCACGTTATTAGAGGTTTTACTCTAAATTGATTGATACTTTCAACATTTTGAAATAAACATTTTGAAATATGTGATACAAAACCAGATAGGTTCTCCAGCAATCTTGTAGACATTCCAGCGCCCGAGGATTAATAGCACATTTCTATCACTGGCAAAGGATCATTTAACTTTTAAAAAAAAGTTTTGCCTTCATTATATTTTACTTGTAACCATTCTCTGCCACAACTAATGCAGAGTTGAGTTGCTCATCAATCCAGCTCCTCAGGACTTCTGGGTATCTGCTATTCATCTAGTAAGGGCTCAGGTCTGGGCTTGTGAGATAATCTAATAACAAATCAATGCCTAAACTCATTGGGGGCAGAGGTACGGGCTGACACACTTGGCAACAGAAGATTGAAATTTAGACAGACTCGTGTGGTGGTCTTGCTTGTCTGGTTCCTGTACCAGTCAGGTCTGAAGAACTCCATAGCATGGTTAACCGAGTTGCTGACTTGTTAGCAAGATTTGGAGGAGCAGAGCAGATGCTGCGAGCTGGAATTCAACTCCTGTTAATACTATGAGCCAAAGGACTAACTTTGGTCCTAGCTGGACAGCAGGAAGCTTTCCAGGCAATTGGGGTCAAATTTCACCCACGTCTAAATTTACTCTATTGACACAGCATTTCAGAGAATGCATAATTTGGCAAATTGTTGAACTCAGTTTTACCTTTGAAATCCATTTTGTGCATACCTCAAGAGACAGAGTGCTTACTCCACAACCATACATATGGTTGTCAGTAATTTAGTTTGGAGACTTAAACATGTTGATGTTCCCAGGCAGAGTAAATGGTTTACGTTGCTTCTGTGGTGAAATAAAAGCCTCCCCAACTCCTCTCTCCACAGGCTGCAGATCATCCAGAACTCTGCAGCCCGTGTCCTCTCCCGCACTAGGCTCTGCAACCCTACCACCCCCATCCTCGCCCAACTCCACTGGCTTCCCATCACACAGAGGATATTTTCAAGATCCAGGTCCTCACTTTCAAAGCCCTCCATAGTCTTGCTATCCCCTACCTTTTCGACCTCCTAACACTCTACCATCCTGCTCACTCCCTCCACTCAGCGGGATCCAGCCTGCTTTACATCGCCCGCCTCGCTCAATCCACTATTGGTGGGCGGGCCTTCTGCCACTCTGCCCCCACCCTCTGGAACTCCATCCCGCAGTCCCTCTGCCTCGCCCCCTCCCTTGCCACCTTCAAGATCCATCTCAAGACCCTTCTCTTCAACCGTGCTTTTGATCTCCCTGCATGGCCCCCCTGCCCTCCACCCTCCCCAACCCCAACCCCCAGCTCGGGGACATCCTCCCAAGGTGAAAGGTGCTATACAAATGTAATTTTGTTGTTATTGCTGATGGGTTTTCAAATGCATTTTGACACCTAGCTGACCAAAAAGAGTAATTTTCTCCGGGCATTTGTCATGCCTATATTTTAATCATAAGCCATTTTGTTAACTGGTATAATACTATATAACTCGTCCTATAAACTGTGCACAAAATCCTAGAGCTCCCATTTCTCAATTTGGCTGGAAAGCTGCAGCTTTAAATTGTTTTTGAAAAATTTGAGAAAAGAGAGGCTTGGCCTATAAATGATATAAATCGTCTTAAATAAACCTAGTTTTCCCTTCTTTCTAGTCCTCTGTTGATCACAGTTCCCAGGCAAAGTAGATGGTTTACATTGCTCCTGTGGTGAAATAAAGGTCATTCCTAAGCACTGTAATACCAAAATTAATACAGTGACGTCAGATTCTGTACAGATCCTGACCTGCCATTGGGAGGATGATCACATGAGCAGACGCCAGGATTGGCTTTAACTTTGCCAACAACAGAATTTGTTTGGCGGTATCTGAGTCACTAAGGCTCTAAGTCCAATCATTCTGGTTGCACAGGTGGGATCTCACCTTCACAAAGTCATATTCACACAAGTAAGACGGCTCCAGGTCAAAGTGCATGAAGTAGAGTTTGATGCGGAATCCCAGTGGCACCGAAATGTTCCACGTGATGTCCGAATCGCTGGGATAGCCCTCGGGGAAATTTGGGGACAAAATGTAGCCGTACATCTCATTCAGATCAGTGGTATTTGCTTCGGCAGCGACCAGCAAATATAACACCAAGAACAACAGACATCTGAGAATAATAAGCACAAAGTACACACATTTAAAACGGGGGAACATCAGCAAAATTGCACAAAACACAGGTTGTCAATTCCATCTATTCACTTGGTTCCAGGAACTTCATTTAGGTTTTACTGATATGAGATGGTTTCAGAGTTTCTGTTTAATCGAGTTGTTGACGATATAAAGGAGCAACTTTAGGAAGTTAGGACGGGAGGCATCCTAGGTTACTGAGGGAAGTAAGGGGGGAAATAACGGAGGCTCTGGCCACAATCTTTCAATCCTCCTTGGACACCGGGGTGCTGCCAGTGGACTGGAGGGTTGCAAATCTTATTCCCCTGTACGAAAAGGGGCAGAAGGATAAACTTGGGAACTGGTCTGTCAGGAGCGGGGAAACTTCTCGAGACTATAATCCAGAACAAAATAAATTTTCACTTAAAAAATATGGGTTAACAAAGGACAGTCAACACAGATTTGTTAAAGGCAAATCATGTCTAACAAACCTGATAGAGTTTTTGATGAAGTAACGGAGAGGGCGGATGAAGGCAGTGCAGTTGATGTAGTTTATATGGATTTTCAAAAGGCATTTGATAAAGTGCCACATAAGAGACTTGTAAGGAAAATAGAAACCCCCGGTATTAAAGGGACAGTGGCGGCGGATACAGAACTGGGAGACAGAAAGCAGAGAGTGGTGGTGAATGGTTGTTTTGCTGACTGGAGGGAAGTGTGCAGTGGTGTCCCCCCGGGGGTCAGTATTGGGACCACTGATGTTTTTGATCTATATAAATGACCTGGACTTGGGTACAGGGAGGACAATTTCCTGATGATACTAAGCTGGAAAAGTAGTAAACAGTGAGGAGGATAGTAACAGACTGTAAACATAGACGGACTGGTAAAATGGGCAGAAACGTGGGAGTTGCAGTTCAATGTGGAGAAATGCAAAGTGATGTACTGAGGAAGAATGAGCAGAGACAATATAAGCTGATGGTAAAATCTTGAATGAGGGTGAAGGAACAGAGAGACCTGGGGGTTCATATAAGTAAATCTTTGAAGCTGGCAGGACAGGAAAGCTGCTAAAAAAGCATCCGGGATACTGGGCTTTATAAATAGGAGCATAGAATATACAAGTCAGGAAGTTCTGATGAACCTTTATATAAAACACTGGTTAGGCCTCAGCGAGAGACTCGGTTCAGTTCTGGGCCCCACACTTTAGGAAGGATGTCAAGGCATTGGAGAGGTGTGAAGGAGATTGACCGGAATGGTACCAGGAATGAGGGGCTTCAGTTATCAGGAGAGGTAGAGAAGTGAGGGTTATTCTCCTTAGAGCAGAGAAGGTTAAGAGGATACTTAATAGATGTTTTCAAAATTATGAGGGGATTCGATAAGGAGAACAAGGAGAAACTATTCCCACCGGTGGGTGGGTCGGTAACCTGAGGACAC